TTTGTGCAAGAAGATTTTAGGGATTAATAAAAACTGCTTATTTATTTATAAGATACCTTGGTATTTTATTTGGCATGACCAGGGATTATTAAGAGTTCCATTTTTTAAAACATGGTTTCAGTACGTAAATAAACGAATAGTGTACATGTGCACAATTGAAAGAGCGTGGGGATAGCTTGTTGCCGCCTTCGACAAAGCCTCAGGTCAGCCTTTTTGTTAACATATAACAAGAAAAAAGTTATAAAATGTATACAAACCTGGCCGCATCCTTAGCTGTCTAAGACGGGGCATTCCTACTATAAACATCTCTCGATTACTAACAAAACCCTCTTCAGAGGTAAAAGGTTCGCCATTATACCAATCAGTGTCATATAACGCTGGCAGCAGTTTGTTTTTGGTCCAATTCCAAAATTTGTCCGTCGTCAATGCCTATCAAAAAATTAAACACAAATTCATATATATTATATTTATTATATCTTGCAATATGGCTTGGCCATGGTAGCAGACTTATCAGCTGGATTGGTTTGCACTATTCTGAGTGATTATTGTCATTGATTAATGGAAATGATCTTTTTTTCATAATAAATAATATTTTTCTTTACTTAGTTTACTTTTTCTTTACTGAGCGCTTGTAGGGGAATAGTCGTTTGTAATCTGACATTCAATAAGCAAAGTTCATTAAGAAGTGAACTTGCGACGTTTGGATATTGTGTAATAAGACAGTATTTATGAGTATATGCTTCTAATAAAACTTCGAAAACTTGATCCAATTTTTTTCCATCATTAGTATAAGTATCGCGGATATTTTGACAGCCGGACAACGTATTTTCCTTTTTTATATTAGTATATTAGGCATTAACACTAAGAAATGTGTGTTTTGTTTCTATTTTAGCAGAAAAAATAAGACCCCCAAAAAAGTCTGAGAACGCCAACTTCAGTCGTTGGACCAAAAACGTTATTTTTTGAAATAGGTGTATAAAATACCGCCAAAATTTGAAGTAGTGAAAACTGAGATTGTGAATAAATTAATTTTACATACCTTTTCAAAACCACTGCATAATTTTTCCATTCCTTCAGTCATGTGATACCTCGAAACGCTTCTATTTCCGTAGCACACCACAGTTACAAGAAGCAAGAAAATCATGAAGAATATTATTTCCACCAAAGTTCTAAACATTTCGATGACCTTCTTTTGATATTCTCTTTGTTTCTCGAGTTCTTCTCCTCTTGGTGCCACGCAGCCCTTACGATTGCCATTTTCTTTTTCGTTTTTCAGAGATTCGCCAAGGACAACATCATTTTCAGGGGGTTTCTTCAAAACCAACGACAATAGAGATGCGATTGCAATGACTTTTATTGGTTGAGTTATGATGACATCTTGGAAAAATGAAACCATAATAGACGTCAGCCACTGATTCGATGTATTTGCACCCCACATCAAACTATAAAACACAGTGAATGTAGCTGCAGCTAAGGACGTTAAGATGCACAAAGTCCAACCAATGTATATGAAGAAATGGGGCAAGCACCCTGGAGTCTTTTTCTTTTTGCTATTGGAGTTTCCATCTTCCCTGTGATTGTCATTGTCAGGAACGTTTTGTTTGATATTTCTAAATATTGTCACAATTAAGATGTTGACAGGAATAGCCACAATACTGCTTTGTATTCCAATCTTGATCTGGGTCCAGCTCATTTTTAGTGGCCCGATATTAAAAGTGTCCTTTGGTTCTGTTCCAAACTGATAAAACATGGCATTGGTGACCATAGCTGCAAAAAGGATAGAGAGGCAACAGGAAAGCCTTTGGCATCTTGTAAATGTGTTGTGGGGTGGTCTTGTGAAGATGGATAGCCAAAGGTGTCCCTCTCCTAAGCTACGGGCTGTTCGGGAGTGAAATAGATTTTTGAAACCTGAAAGTTGCTTCTTATCTGCTTTAAGGATTTCTACCTCAATTTGGCCATCTCCTTTCTCAACAGCAAGCCATCTATTTCCCAGGAAGTGCCACTGTTCTCCTGTCTGTGCATCGGTTATGAGAACTTGTTGGAAAAACCACGCAGGACTTGGGCCAGAATTGTCATGCCACAGTTTAATTTTGAGCAATTCACCAACAGACACAGGTAATGCAATGGTGAAGTTGTTAACACTACCTCGCGAAAAAAAGGTTTTGTTAAGGCTTTTATCCGTAAGCAATATGTCATCCGACTTTCCCTCTTCGCCATAGATCCTTATACCAACATTCGCTGTCGTTCCGTATCCTCTCCACATGCCCGTCTGTACAGATATCTGGTAGATATATCCCTCTTGCATATCTTTTTCCCTGAGATACACATTAGCAATAACCTGTAAATAAACATGTATTTTAATTGTTTTTGTTTGTTTGTTCGTTTGTTTGTTTGTTTTTTTTGTTGTTGTTGTTGTTTGTTTTTTTTGCAATTTTACCAAAACTTAAAGAATTTTCAAAACTTGTGTCGTTGCAATGATTTTCATAGCGTGATGTTTGATAAATCAAGCCAAAGAGTGACTTTCCATTTATATAGTACTTGATGATTTGTTACTTTTATTAGGCTTGAGAGTGATTGTAGACCCCATGGTTGGGAAACACTTGGCATATCGTGCTTAGTACCTTAACTACCTTCTAGGTTTTTTCAATAAACCCTCATAAAAAAACTTGCCCTTGGCCGGCTTTCAAATATTATTTTTAGCATATTTTACCTTAGTATCGTCTCTTTTATCAGCTTTTCTTGCAAAAACAAGTCCAATAAAGTACAACCCAAACAATCCACAGACAGTTGCTAACACGACAAAGTTTCCTGTTTCTCCAAGTCTTCCAAATTCTGCAAACACTTTGTCGAAGTCAATAGGGTTAGGTGCGACAAAGAAATCACCGCCAAATGCAGACAAATGCGTGCACAAGCAGTGAAGCTTTCTAGCATTAGACTTTGGACCAACCTATGGAGATGATAATGTGTTCGTTTGAGTAACATAATTTGTTAATCCTGTATTATAGCAACAAAATAAATACCTTGCATCCCTCGCTTGTCCATTTTGATTGCTTTTCAGACCAATATAGGCACGAAGTTACACTTACAGACATTGTGTAATTGACATCTGTGCTACCATTATATAAAGGGACTATAATTAATGGAGTAGGAGCTGGGGTGGTAGGAGGGTCTTTTACGCCAATACACCCTCTCTTCACTCTTCCGCTGTGACTGTAACAGTCCCTTCTTAATCGAGCACTTATCACTTCTCCATCCGAAGGATTCACAGGGTCCATACTTTGTACAGGGGTGTACTGAACACCAATATAATGAATGCCTATTTCACCAGTACTAGCACTCGAAATGGTTAGAGTGTAAGGATCATCAGTGCAATTTTGATACCCCATTTCAACGTCATAATTTAAACAGCTCGTGTAATCTGGCATGATCTTTTTCAAATCGTAAGAATCAGGAGTAGGCTTCAACAAGTGTCGTACGTATACTACTAGGTTGATTCCATCTTGTGGTTTAATGGTAACAGAAACTGCAGCATCATGGGATGGGATTGTTATTTGGTGACTTCGAATATTTTTCTTATTTTTACTTGGCTTAACAAAATACTCGTTTGACGAATTATTCACATTCTGTGGCTCTTCTTGGAGTTTTTGTGGTATATATAACTCAATAGGCTTTGACAGTCCTGTGATATCGAGTACTTTTCCATGGCTGGTTTTAAATTTGAACTCTACAACGGATGACCTGACATTTTTTGAGCTCGAATCCCAAGTAAATGGATTTTCATCAAATGCCATCATCTGATTAATAAAAGAAGAAACAAAAACTATAAATTTTTGAAGCATTTACTGAAGATTGAAACATTTAATAATTGAACTTCTAAAAACATTTATAATAACCTATCAGTTATCCAGTACAATTTATGTACCTGAGAATCAATAGCGGCCATATTGTCAGAGTTGTTTCCAAATAGTGTATCCGCGGAAGGCAATGCCACTTCGCTATCTCCTTCTCCCAGTTTTTTGTTGCCCATTTTGGAAGCCATTTGTCGGTCTAACAGTAACGCCATATTTTTTGTCTTGAAAACACTTGGCTTTTCCCCCACCGTTTTTGTTGATAGAAGACTTCCACCAACTACTTCCATTAGTTGTAACGTTTTCTCCGACATTTCTTTCCCCTGTTTAAAAGATATTCAAGTCATAAGAAATTAATTTTATACTAACAATAAATATATACTAAATTTACACTGAAACTCTACCGTTTACTTTACCTTTTTTTTCGTTTCCTCGCTCTCCTTGTCAGGTTTATGTCTATTTCCTCTTTTCTCCTTTTCATTCGCTGTTTCCTTGGCTTCATTGGATGCTGCGCTCAGGATGTTGCCAATACCATGAAGAAGACTTGCACCAACTTTCTGCAAAAGTTCTGGATTATCATTTTTCTGATTAGCCATGAACAAAGCAGTATCTTCCAACAGGCCGACAGCGTTTTCCTACAAATTATAGCAATAAAGTGGTATTCGTAAGTATTTCAGTTTATTAAATATTTGTTGCCACAGACTGGTTTTGAATCTGTATCAGAACGCACCAGGCAACTATAAATATTTAAATACTTATTACAGGATGAGAACAGGAATAGACCTAAAAGCCAGAGGCTTATCAGAGAAGACTCATGACAAACGTCAGAGCTTCGTAAATACGCTTTCTATCAGCTTATTCTGATGAAATCAAACAAAGGCTCTTGTCTATACCAAAAGAAAGTTATTTGAAATTACTAACTTGTGATTTTTGGGAAATTTCATCTTTTTGGCCAGTTGCTAATGCAACTACCGCAGCCACTTGAGTCACCTGCTCCAAATTTTTCACTTTCACCTTGGAGATTTGATCGATTATACCATCTTTTAGCTGAATAATTGAAAAAAGCTATAAAATTTTAGTTAAAATTCTTTAAGAAGATCTTTTGAGAAAAACAAAAACGGGTTGAACAACATCACGGAGATTGCGCTTGTCACATTAATAATAAGCATTCGTTGAACGTTGTACATTTTTTTTCAATTGCCCCTCGCCTATTGCAGCATATTACTAATCTTCTCCGCTTTATCACTTTTTTCCTCTTTTCCTTGTTTGGATTTACTCTTTCCCGCATCACTATGGTATAGAAGCATTCTCAATTATTACAACAAAAATAAATGAATAAATTAAGATTTCAAAAGATTAAATTTGTACACGAAGTACTTTAGTCACTCTAATTGCCCTATTTCACTATGATGTCTCAGCATGTTTTCCCAACACCATATACGGTATTTGGAGGCGGTTATTGTTTTCCTAAGTTCTAAAAAAATACAATTCCTTGCAGTTTTCCTTGTTTTTGTTGCTGTTTTTGTGTCCCTCCAACGATCATGGTTCTCAGGCCCGCTCAAGCAAAAAAAATTTTTTTCAAGTGACGTCATAATAAAATAAGGCAATTTTACGGTCTGTAATTGCCTTATTTCACTATGACGTCACATTAAAACAATCTATTGTTTAAACGCAAAGGATCATGGTCGTCGGATGGGGTCAAATCAACGCAAATTCACCGAAAATTGTTCTAAAACCGGTATCAATCCACGAAGAGAAGTAGAATAGCCAGCAAACGCTCAGAATATTTTTTAGTACATATTAACACATATTGTACTATCTGAAAACCAGGCCATTTTAGATTAAACTGTTTCGCTAGGAGCAAATTTTGTTGAATTTTCTATTGGATTTGGCGATTCTATCCCCCACATAAACAAGAAGTAACGTCATAGTGAAATAGGGCAATTATACTATGGTGAGGAGAACTATCCTGCTTCCTTCTCAGCTTTTATGAAAACCCAAATTTTCGTCTTAAAAGCTGAAAAGGCGCTGAAAAGGAAGAGGAAAAGAATCATGTCAGGTGTGTTGTCGAGTGAATATTGTGCTTAGTTTTAAGGCGTTGATGTTGATGTCATTCGTGTTTACATGTAGATTTTAAGCTTTTATTTATCTGCGTTTTTATCTATTTATTTTTTTGGTATGGTGCTATTCAGACTTTGACCTTTTCACATTGTTTTTAAATTTACAACTGAAATATAACCATGATCTGTTTTAGGGTATTATTGTTCCTTATTCAGTTTTTAAGAGAAAAGTTCGTTTTGGTACAGGTCAAAGCACTATTTACGTTATGTAAACATGGTTTTTTAAACAACTGAATCTAAATATAGGCTTATAGGTGTTTAAATACGCTTATGAAATGAAGATTGAAAAAGAAAAGAAGATTGACTGAGGAGCTTTATTATAATGGTTTACAAGGCGCATTTTTAGTTATACATGAACTTATTGTTATGATTATTTGGTGAAATTTTATGCCATTGAAAGAAGTTTAATCAAGTTGAAGACGAAAGCAGAAAATGTTGACGAATGCTGAAGATTGTTGAAGCTGAGTGAAGTACAGCAAAAAGTAAATAAGATGATCGACATTGATGAGATTTTCGATAGTGCACAATTGTATAACGAACTATGTTGGAATGAAGTGGAATGCTCACACGAAGGGATCGGATATTGACTTGGATTCTTGGACTTGGATTCTTAATGTTTTTTTATTATGTGGACGTGAAATRGACATTATGATTCATGACTGGACCTCTAAAATGAACGCTTTTCCGAGCGCTGTACTTACGTTTTTTACGCTACTCTTGGTTACCTTTAACTTTGAGCGTAATTGAGTACGAACGATATCAACCTACAGAAATAATTGTTAAGGTTTTCATTGTGATTGAATTCTATAAGAATAATGCGTCTCGACGGCCGGACTCGCCATCTCTCCGACCAAAAACATTAATCCTCCAAGTAAGGAAATACATTCATATTAATCATAGTTAACACATAATTAGTATACTGTATTTACAACAAAAGCCACAAAGTTTACATATAAGTGAAAACGTATGAAAAATATAGAACCAGCTTACTGTGGCTACCCTAGAATAGGTGAAAAGGTAGGAGGGGTGTAAATGGTAGAAAAAATAGAAAAAAAGAAAAGATAGAAAAATGACGCAAAGAGATAAAGATCAACAACAGCAACTGCAAAACAAACAGTCCCACAAACAAAAAACAAAAAAGAAATCAACAGTAGGAGAGAGAGAGAGAGAGAGAGAGAGAGAGAGGGAGAGAGAGAGAGAGAGAGAGAGAACCTGCTAACACATCACATTCTCACAAATACGGCAACCAATGTTAGTATATACATATTAGAGCTAATTAGTATACAGTGATACATATACGGAGCACAGAAAAACAACATTTAGCTAGATAAAAGCGAGAGGAAAAATTAAACTCAGAAAAACAAATCGACTTTGATTATTGTTTTGTATTGAAGATCAAGAAATAATCAAAAAAATGATTCAAATACTAGTCAGTGCACTATTCGCAACGTTGCAATTGAATTTACAATACTATATCTACTGGTCCTCTTGAGGTTTAATGATGTTGAACATTTGATCTCGTCGAGTCTCGATGGCATGTTAAAATCGTAATATATTGAATGCGCGACCTATAGCAGTTGGAGTCGACTTCATGCTTAATTCTTTTCACTACTCATAACGTTATATTCGAATCGGCAGTACTACATCTACTGTTCCTCTTGAAGTTTAATGCAGTGTTGAACATTTCATCACGTCGAGTCTCAATGACATATGTTAAAATCTTAATATATTGAACTCGTGACCTATTGCAGTTGGAGTCGGCTTCATGCTTTAGTCTCTTCACTACTCATAACGTTATGTTCGAATTTACAGCGCTACATCTACTGTTCCTCTTGAAGTTTAATACAATTTTGAACATTTTATTGCGGAGAGTCTCGTTATCATGTTAAAATCTTAATATCTCGAACTTGGCCATTTTATTTTATTTAATATTTAATGTTATTGGAATTGGTATTTCCACATCAAAATGAATTAGAGATAATATATAAATATATATTTATAGTTGATTTTGTTAATGTTCACTACTAAAAATGCAAACAGTACAAACAAGTGTAATTAGAATTATCATACTCAAGATTGAGACATCTAAATCATTCAAATATTTATATATTAGCTCCATTCAATTTATCTACTGGTACTTTAAGACTGAATTCGTTTGTTTTGGCAGTAGCCACATGCACACATTGGGTGCCTAGTTTTGATGTTATCATTGTTGCAGTCATTTTTTTCGTTGTTTTAGTGTGTGGTTAATTACATGAACTGTTAATGTGGCCATAAACTGACTTACCGATTTTCTGTCTGTAGCTTCTATGTTTCCCTCGCTTTTATCAACAAGTGAAAGGACTGCATATGCCATTTGGGTAGCCTTGCTCACATCTCCCGATTTTAGAAGATTACCCATGGCACTGTTTTTTCCGCTTGTCATTGACTTTAGTGTGCCTGAAACATCTTTAGTAATCATTGGCTTAACCTTGTAAAAAGAAAGAAAGAACAAAAAAACAAAACAAAACAAAACAAAAAAAAAAAAAAAAAAAGCAAAATTATTAGATTAAAGGCAAATTTTAAAATGTGATTTTCGTTGATATCAATGACTACTTACAAATACGAAGGTAAAGTCCATGGATGAACCTCCGAAAGAATCAGAAACAAGCACCTCGATAGGAACAATGTAGTCTGCCACAGGATCTCCAAGAGGTAATCTAGTTATTATATGATTACTAAAGGTCTTTTCGATGACGATCATGCCTGTGTTGGTGTGGTATCTAGAACGAAAACATGTCTAAATGAGTCCATGAAAGAAGCCTGACTGGAAAGCAGCTTAACGCAACTGGCATATCAAGCTATAAGCGAAAAACTTCGTTACATGAAAGCCGCGTGTGAAAATAATTTATATAACATATGCAGTATAATGTATTCAATTACATTTTAGTATGAAAATATGATATAATAAATTGAAATAAACTAATAAAAGTAGTCGAAGTTAATTGACAATTGATATTGCCCAATAATAACTTTCTCTTTTGATCTTGACGACTTTAAATTCGCATCTCTCTATATGGAAATCACTCCTTATAGAACTCGGTCTTTGGGACCCGAGCCAAATTCTTGCATTATTTTGATCTTTAAGTCGAGATTTATAAGGGTTACTTTCAGAACATTTTGGGAAAATTAGATCACTAATGTACTTAGGTACAGCAAGATTAACGGAATCGTACATTAGTAAACCCAGGTGTTTATCTCATCTAGATGACAAATTGTCCCAATGTAGATAGCGTAATATGTCATTGGATCTGATATCATAACCTTGAAAAGTTATTATTTGACCAGCACGGTTTTGTAACTGTTGTAGTTTGTTGGCGAGACCTTTATTTAAATTGCCCCGAACAACATCACAATAGTCGAAAGCAGGCTGTATAAGAGCGTTGTGTATCATTTTAAAAACATCTAAGGGCAAAAAATCACGAGCCTGTTTTAAACCATTTATGGAGCGGCTTACTTTGGAACACAGATTTTCGATATGCTCATCCCATTTGATCGTGAGAACTCCAAGATATTTAGTGGATGCAATCCTTTATATTTGTTTATCACCATTGTGAATTGGGATAATCTTGCAATAAACATATACTCAGTTTTGGTAGCATTTAGACTAAGTCTGTTCGCCAACAACCACTGATTTATAGTGATTAAATCCTCATTCAATTTCGCCTGCATGTCAATAATTCTTGACATTGAGGAAGTGCTCAGGAGAGTGTCGTCCGCGTACATATCCTCGTCAATGGGGGTCGTCAATGTATAAAAGAAACAATAAAGAACCTAAAATGTTGCCTTGGTGCGCCGCAACTAACTGTCGAAGGTTGCAATAGGCAAACTTCAACACTACCTTGCTGCTGTCTGTTTGTCAAGTAAGAACTAAACCAATCAAGAGATGTCTCCTTCATACCATAAAGTTCTAATTTCTTTTGCAAGATTGAATATGAAACGGAATCAAATGCTTTCGTTAGATCAATAAATACAAATGAATTTGTCTTATCCTTGTCGATATTTATTGATTAGTGGTATTAAGAAGAGCCATAACAGTGGAGTGAAGAACACGAAATCCTGATTGGTATTTTGTAAGCAAGTCATGTCTATTTAGATAAACATAAAATTGATCATACACAACTCTATCACAAATTTCAGATATTGCAGGCAAACGGAGATTGGCCTATAATTCTGTGGATCCGATCTCTCGTAGGATTTAAATAATAGTATAACTTTTGCTACCTTCCACTCGGATGGAAGGAAGCCAGTATCAATAGACTTATTTGTCATTATTACTCGGGCTTTTTCCGAAGGAAGGCCCGAGTTATAAAATGCCTGTTCTTTTTTTTCATCGTCTACAAAATGCAGTCATGCGCAGTTAACGCCAGTTAGGAACGCCTGGGAAACCAAATTCGCATGCGTACTTCGATTATATAAACTGGGCATGCGCTTAGGGTCTCTGACGTGCACGTGCGTTTGGAAAGCCAGTCTTCTTCATCAGTGTTAAATAGAGTTTAATAATTCCCGATTATGGCTCAAATTTTCCTGTCTAATACGCTCAAACCACTAACAAATGCACACATCGTTCGCAGTAGACCCGCACTAAAAGATGTTGAGCGTTTTCGGAACGGGTTGGTCCGCGAACATGATGATTTTATCGAGAACAATTTATCGAGAACCATTTTCGTGAACCATTTATCTTGAACTATCTAAAATTATCTATCTATGCAAAAAGCGAAACAACTTATCAATTTTATCCAAACTTTGACCGTACAAAGGACTCAACTCCTGGGTTTTCGCACAGTTTCGCTGATAAACAAAGAAAACGAACTGCTGTAAGCGAAGGCGTAAACACGCCGGTATGTGACTCTCAATGTGCTGTATGGATTTTCTTATTGGTTCTTTTTGCAATGTTTTTTACACTGAAAATTTTTGATATCGTTATTCCCAGTATGTTTATTACAATTATAAACATGTTAAGCCAAGTTCTAGTCGTAGAGTGTTTACACGTGATCGTTAACCTAGCAGAATACCGAGTGTACCTGAATACCATGTCAGGATCTGAGTTAGGACTCGAGTTGGGACTCGAGCTGGGACTCGATTTTCGACATATTTTTAAAGAATAACTCAAAACAAATAAAATGCTAAATGTAGTCACGACGCTTTCTTAGCAAAGTATTTGTTAAAGTGCAATCATGACAAATTCCAGTCAATAACCTTTGGGCTCAGAAACAACATAATGATAAAGTACTTAACATCAACATTAAGAATAACACTGTCAAGAGTGCATGCAAAATGAATCTATTGGAGACATATCAGTTTTGGTAAAATAAATCGTCGTGTTAAACCTAAACTTAAAAATGTTGTACATCATATTTTGTTGTATTTTTTTAAATGTCCAAATGTTCCCATTTTATAATTTGCGTTGACTTGATATATATTTTATTTCGGAGTGCTTCCGCTCATAAACCCGTGAAACACAATTAAGGTACTAGTTCTGGCTAAAGTGGGTCTTATTTTAACAGAATATATTCGAATTGTACTCAGTTCATACACCAAAAAGCATTTGATAACTAATACCTTTATAAAATTTTGTTTCGAAAATGCAAGTCAAAGGTGTCAATATTCACACCTAAGGTGTTATTGTTATCCCAAAGGCTTTTTTTAGTAAACCTGTAATATTTCTCTAAATTCGTTTGCAAACATGTCTAAAATAAGCAATAATAAACCCCCATATAATAATAAAACAGAATTAAAGAAGCCAAATTACGAAAAAAAATTCCGAGCTCTAACTGAAGTGATCCGATTTTTCCGCGACAAAATTTTACCAAAACAATGTTCTGCTTTGGGCTCTTTACTTCCTGATCTTTGATACCTATTTTGAATCTCTACCAAAAATCATGCTGAAATGATAAATATAAACAAACTTATTCAAGAACGCGTGAGGTACAGTGGTCATTTCGCACATTAATCTAGCGAAAACATACTAACTTCTTCACTCAAACGAAGAAGTCCAGCGCCATATTGATTTTTACATCGAGATACGTCATAGTAGAAGAAAATATTTCGACTGAATCACGAAAACTATCGGAAAACCTCGGAAAACTGTCGCCCACGTGTTGCTTCTACGAAGGCAATCTCGCGTCCCAAATAAATGATGTCATCCATAGCAACGGCTGGACGCATGCGCTGTACTAAGAGGTAAACATGAGGCCATTTGAATGTTGATTTGTCACGGCGACTGTATCAGACTAAACGGGGCCTAAACTACTATTTCGAGTCTTATATATTTGTTATTTTGTATATATTACTATTGACATATTATTTATTGAGCTTAATAGAAGAAATTTCACAAAAAGCACAGGTAATTCGTGTCGCGTGATCTCCGAAACGCTAGTTGTGTTTGTCAACACTCATACCCATAAAGGTCAAGTCGTATTAATTTCTCTCAAACTTCGATCAAAATGGCTTCCATAGGTACGAAGTTTTTGGCTTTTTTATTTCGCATTGCGCTGAAGTATGGACATAAATCCATGAAAAACATATTCAACTATTCCAGTAGCAGTTAGGGATTGACAAAAATTTGAAGATCTTTTTTCACCCTGAGCCAGTTCAAGTACCTTAAACTTATTACTCTTTATTAGTAAGCCTTTTTATCTGTTTTGTCTTCTTCCTAATACGCTGTTATTCCCACGGGTTTTTGTAAATCACTTAATTTCAAAGACCATCTAATAATAATGATAATGAAAACATAT